TCAAGTCTGATTAACGCACATGGATAGCATCCAGGTTTTACACAGCTTAGAAATAGTGGGGAGGGTATGATGGGACCATGACACCACGCTGGGGACACGGTGCCAGAGTTGAACGACCAGACGTGCGCTCACTCTGTATTCGCAGAACTGAATTCCTCACAGGCTGGCTGTGTCCAAACAAGCTGAACAAAAAAAAAATCGTAGCCAACGTGATTGGATCAGAGATCCTGCGCAACTTTTGTACCTCGTAGAAGTTTAAAATCCTTCACTGTTATATAATGTCCACAGGAAAGAGTGTGAGTGGGAGAGAAACTCTGAGTCCACCCTGAATCACTGGGAAGTCGTGTTTTTCACCGTGTTTAAACATATGGACCAAAACCTGTTGCTTTAACGTCTCCTTGGTCTTAAAACCAGAAAACTATCCAACAAAATCATCAAAGTAACACTATAAAGTTGTGCAAAAGTATTTAAAATGTATTTTTCGTGAGGATTTGTGTTGCCACCATTAAATAAAAGGCACTTTGGTGCAAAACGTTTCGAGTGCTGTTGAGTTTTTTTGTAATTATTTCCACCAATGACGAGTTTCTTCTCCAAAACAGGACGCCGCTGTGGGAATCTGTTCTGTTTCGTGTTTCCCTCCTTGTTGTCAGCTCCTGTCTCACCTGTCTCCCCAGGTGTTTGTCATCATGTCTCGTTAGTGTCACTGTCTTTGTGTTTTCCTTTGTCTGTGGATTGTGCTCCAAGCCTGTCATGCTCTGTCTCCCTGCTCCGTGGAAGTTTGACAGCTTTTGTTCAAATAAACAGACTTTCTTTATTTTGACCTCGGAGTCTCCGGTTGTCTGTCTGCAGGTGGACTCAACACCTGAACTGCAGAAGAGCATGTCCAAAGCATCATTACCAGAAAACCTAACAGCACTTCTGAAGACGTTTCCTTCAATTCTGGAAACAACAGAAGCAGATTTCTCTTTAATCTTTCTTGTTGAAGGCTGCTTCATGCTTCTGTAGAAACTACCCGTGCTCAGTGAATTCTGCCCTGGGGCAGTAAAAAGCCGTACAGTCGTGTCTATGCTGGCGACCGAGGGCCGGGTGTTCCTGTTACCGTGTGATGGCCACGTGTGGGAGGCAGGGGCAGCAGCAGCAGCAGGGCCACGTGCTGATCCTCAGTTTGTGTTTGCTGGAGCGCTTCAGGAAGGCCTCGTCGCCCCCGAGCTCTTCCAGCATCATGATCAGGAACTTGAACACCACGATGGCAAAGTAGCTACAGGAAATATATAAAAGAGAGAAACTTCAGAACTGGGGAAACTAAAAAAATGTGATTAAAGAAGAAGAGCTCACCAGGCTGAGGTCATGTCCGTGAACATGACCGCTCTGGGGATCCACATTCCCAGACACGACATGGTGCTGATCACCTGGAAAAAGATGCAGACGTCAAACTTCTTACACACTTTGGTAAAAATGAATGAAAACTATTTGTGTGCGGTATTTACCGGCGCGGCCCCGTTCACCCAGACGATTAAACTCTTCTTGTTAGCCGGGACTTTTCTGTAAATATACACACATTCTTCTAGAAAAACCAGCAGGGACACGACGGCCATGAACGTGAGAACAGAGTACAGAATGATGCCGAATGTGTCCAAACCTGAAAGAGAAAGAACAAAAAGATTTGAGTTTCTGTCATCTTCAGATGAAAGCTGAACTCAAGACTGATATAACCTTTCATTTAGTTTAAAGGACATGTTCTTTATTAACCTCGTTTGTTTGTCCTATTTATTCTTCCAGACGGGGTGAGTAACAAACAAAAAAGTGCCAGAATGTTTAAAATGAGATTTGTTTCTGTATAACTCTGATTTAATGTCTGTAATCGTTTTCTCATCCATCCAGCCCTTCCACTTCTTCTGGGAGGAGTCCAAGGCGAGCGGAGAGTCTCTGCAGCCTGTTCCGGGTCTCACCCGGGGTCTCCACAGCCAGACTCCCACCCCCTACAGAAAGTCCAGGGAGCATCCTTACCAGGTGCCCAAACCACCTCAACTGGCTCCTCTCGACGTGGAGGAGCAGCGGCTCTGCTCCGAGTCTCTCCCTGATGAACTTCTCACCCCGTCTCTGAGGGCGAGTCCAGCCACCTCACAGAGTCCATTAAAATTATTTCACCCGTCTGGACCTACGGTGTCGTTCTTTTGGTCACCACCGAGAGTTTGTGACCGAAGGTGAGGGCAGGAACATAGACCGACTGGTAAACAGAGAGCTTCTTCTTAGATCAGCTCACTCTTCACTACAACGGACCGGAGTGCACAGTACTGTGTAAGCTGTTCCGAGCCATCTGTCCATCTGAGGCTCTTTTCTTCCACCACTTGTGATACATGCACCTCACCCCCTTGGAAAAGGGCAATCCACCCTTTTCCAACAGAGGACCATGAGAATATTTAAAAAAAACATCATTTTGAATTAAAATAAATACAATTTGTCTCATTTTTCGATTCCGTAACAAATAAATTTGTAATTGTTTGAATCAGCAAAAGATAATTAAATCATGCCAAAGTACTAAACTTTGTTTGAGCACATTTCTAATGAAGTTTGTTGTTTCTGTTCATTTTATGAGTTTTAAAAACAAGAAAACTTCATAAAAGACGTTCGTTTAAAGAAAAGTCATTTAATTTGGAAGAAAATGACTGAAAACAAGAAGCTAACGCTAAAAACAAACCTTGAGCACATTAACGTGCACAGCCACCACCCTCAAGGAAAAGGAGAGTGATTTGCACGGGAGTTCAGTTTGCATAAATGGATCAACTCTACAGTTTTAAAGCTTCGAACAAATTAAAAGCTCGTCAGACGACAGACAAAGCATCTTTAAAAGCCTCTTGGGATCAGGATGTTGGCGACGAGCTTCACTTGCAGTAAGTTTCCATCAGCTGAACTGAGGAGCAGATTTTTCATTGTTCACTTTTCTTCCAGAGAAAAAGGAAAGTGAGCACAAAGAATGGGAGGAAAGGCAGTAAATGTGTCCAACATGTTGCTCACAACTGAGACTATTGTTGTCATGTGCATC